CCCTGACCCCCCCTTGTCCCTCCGCACAGCCCCAGCGATGCTGCGCTCCCTGCGCCCCGTCCAGCACCTGTGCCCGCATCTGTCCCCTCCCCTGTCCCCATCTTTGTCCCCACGCTTGTCCCTAGCCCTGCGCCGCCCGCTCTCCTCGCCCCGCCACGCCCCGCGCTTGCCCCTGCGGCAGCGGCTGCTGGTGGCCAGCGCGGTGGCGGGGGCGGTAGCCACGGGCTGGCTTTACCTGCGGCACCAAAAGCAGCGCCAGCAGCGCTCCCGTCGCCTCCGCGACCTCCGCACGCTGGCGCTGGGACAAGGCGACTTCCACCTCCGCGACACCGCGGGGACAGTCCGGAGCAAAGCGGATTTCCTGGGCCGCTGGGTGCTGCTTTATTTCGGCTTCACGCACTGCCCGGACGTGTGTCCCGAGGAGCTGGAGAAGCTGAGCCGCGCCGTGGAGCTGCTGGAGCGCGATSCCGCCGCGCCGCCGGTGCAGCCGCTTTTTGTCACCGTGGACCCCGAGCGCGACGATTCGGCGGCGATGGAGCGGTACCTGCGCGATTTTCACCCGCGCATCCTGGGGCTCACCGGGACCCCCGAGCAGGTCCGGGCGGCTGCTGCTGCTTTTCGGGTTTATGTGAGCGCCGGGCCCCGCGATGCTGACGGGGATTATGTGGTGGATCACTCGGTGCTGACGTTCCTGGTGGATCCCGACGGGATTTTTCGGGATTGTTACGGACGTTCCCGCACGGCGGAGGAGGTGGCGAGGAGCGTGCGGGGACATATGGACAGCTACGAGCCGCTGCCGCCCGCCGAGGGGGAATAAATGGGGGAAAAACACACGGAATGGGGTCTGGTGTGGTTTGGGGTGGGGGGGACAGCCGGGTGTCACTTGGGGAGGGACAGATGGCATGGAGTGTCCCATGGGGAGGGACAGCACCCTGACAGAGCCCAGTGTCCCCCAGGGATGTCCCATGGGAAGGGGGACACGAGACAAAGCCCAGTGTCCCCCAGGGGTGTCACATGAAGGACAGAGCCCTGACAGATCCCGGTGTCACACGAGGGACAGATGGCATGAAGTGTCCCATGAGGAGGGACAGAGTCCTGACAAACCCGTGTCCCCCAGGGGTGTCCCATGGGAAGGGACAGCTGTGACAGA